AGGTTTGGTTCAGGGTCAGGTTTGGTTCAGGGTCAGGTTTGGTTCAGGGTCAGGTTTGGTTCAGGGTCAGGTTTGGTTCAGGGTCAGGTTTGGTTCAGGGTCAGGTTTGGTTTAGGGTCAGGTTAGTTGGTTGCTGTATGGAGAGCCACATTTTTCTAAATCAATGTTTTTAAAGTCATTGTGTAATGTTTTAAGTTCTAACTCAGTGAACTGTATCAATACTCAGTATTGACAGTTACCCTAACTGAAGTACTCAGACTTGTACTGTTTGTGAAAAACTGATATCAGGACACCTCTATTAGTAAATGTCAGACAATTAAAGACTTTTACTTAAGTAATAACTGAATTTGAAGTTTTACCACAGTAATGGTATTGCAAGGTACTTGAATAAAGTATCTCAAAATGATACTTCAGTAAAAGTAGAWGACTGCCACAAAGTAAAATAACTAAATTGTTATAGTGGAAATAAAAAATAAAATAAAATTTTGTCACTACAAAGACAGGAAGCAGAAAATGGAAGCAGTGGCTTCTTTTCTTTCTATGACAGAAACAACCTCATCTATAATTACCCATTTTCAATAGCAGAAAATTAACGCCTTAAAAGTTTAGATGCTATTTTTTTTACTGGCATCATCTTTCTGCAAGAAACACAAAAGCTGAATAAAAAATGAGGAAATGACAGATTATTATTAACAAATATGAGCTTGAAGCCCTTTCATTAAGAGATAATCAGGATTCTTCAGATAACAGGATCGCTCTCTGTGTAAAAGTCTGAAATCATGTCGGCACAATAACAGCTGTCAGGATGAATTACAGCTTCAATTTACACTTAACAGAAAAAAACTTTAATCTTTGACACATTTGCTCTGAGAGGAGTTGAAATGTGAACATTTGAGAATATATTTATTTAAAATCCCTAAATCAAAATAACAAAAAAGTCAACATTCAGAAGTGAATCATTCGTCTGTGTATTGAAATCCTTACAGGTGTATTATACATGTATACTGGTGTACAGGCAGGCAATATAAAATGACTGATAATTATCAAAACAAAAACAGATACACAGAACAGCATTTACAAAAGCTTATTTCAAGTACCTCTAACTCCACATTTCAGTCATCTGTACAAAATGTACAAGAACTGTATCCCACGTTGTTTCTGCCACAACTTTCTCCGCTGCTTTTCAAATTCAGACTAAAAAAAAAAATTTATACAAGAAATCTATAACTGAGAATCCAGAGCTGATATTTTAAGACCGCTGCTTCTGATGAGGTTTTACAGAATTTTCCGTTTCAAGGCTGCAGACTGAGGACCCCTTGTTTTTATTTTTTTACAGTTCTGTAATTTCTTATCACATTCTCAGTTTGAGGCTGGATGAAATGTTTCAGAACTTACAGTGAGGAAAGAGACAGTTTCCAGTTAYGACCTGAAAGTCGTGTCATTTGTTGTCATAAAGTGTTTCCCTTTAATACATGTTGGTCTGTATATTTATTTATTATTGCATTGTGGAGCTGAATAAGGGAGAATTTTGGGGGCTAAAGCACCGATAACATTGATGCCCCCCTCCCCTCTGTGGACTTCAACAATGTCACTGAAAAGCTTCAACCTGATTAAACGATCAGCTCAGGTTTATAAACGGAAATATTTAGAAACGATCTCACAAAAAGTGTCTTTTCTGAAACAATAAATCCTTGAAATCAAAACAATACAAATAACCTATCCCAAAATGTCCTGATGACACAAACTGCAGGTTATAATACTTGAAATTCTTATTATTCAGAAAAACAAAGTAAGAAAACAGGAATAAAAACAGTTTTAAAACACTAATAACAGCTGTGTTTTGGGAACATCGAGTGCAATGAAGTAAAAAGCTTGTAGAGTTTTCTAAATTACAAAAAGAAGAAAAACAATGTAAATCTTATTTTTACAGGTTCTATGTGACACATTTCATACTCTCATGTTTAAAAGAAAGAATATTAAAGAAGCGAGACTCTGTCAAAGTAATTTGATGAATTTTTCTTTTCCATTCAGAATTTGATTTGTCTTAAAAGTAACAAAAATCATTTTTTATTCGCTTCAACCTTGTACCATTCACTTACTGTAAGAAGTCCTGCTGAGAAGCTTAAAACAATTGATCCAAGTGCTTTTATTTTTTAACAAAACCTGAAAACGATGATGAGGAGGAGCTTCAGCCACGTCTGAGGCTTTAGAGCGAGGACAAGCTGGACGACGCTCCAGGATTTTTTGTTTATTTTTGTTTAAACTTGTATCACAGTGGAGTCTCCTGACCTCTCTCTGTGTCAGGGTCTCTGCGTGTCGTACTGCTGGTAGCGGTTCAGTTTGTCCGGATCGTTCGAGGCCATCTGGGAGAAATCCTGGAAGATGTCCTGGTAGGTTTCATCTCCTGGGAAGATGAAGAAAACAGACGTCAGCAACAGAAAAAAACATCCTGAAATTAAAAAGAGATGCAGCTGCTTCTAACGCTCAGACACATTTCACACCACGCTGCTGCAGCTGAAGTAACAGGAAGTAGATTTTAAAGCCCTCAGGAAACATTCACTCATGCAGCAACAAGAATTAAAAAAAAAAAAGGAAAAAAGTTACCTGTCAGAGCGCTGGAGCGGCTCGAAACGTAAAACAGAACAACCCAGAGGAGTAAAGAAGAACAGAAGAAGAGAGGAAAACGAGGAAATCCAGTCGGGAAGAAAAGCCCACAGACGTTTGGTTTGATCAACAACTGTATTGCTTTTAAAGTGCAGAAGTTTATGTACAAAAAAAAAAATAAAAACAAAATACAGCTGTGTTGGCCTCGGCACCCCCAAAGAAAAATCAAAGGAGAACAGAAGAAAAAGGCACAAAACTCTGGGGAGGAGAGCGAAGAAAGAAAAGCAAAACAAAGAGAGTTACAGGAGAAGTGAGAAGTTACAGAAGATCAGCGGTTCTCAATCTGGATGAGCTTCAGCAAACAGTTTAGTTTGAAATCATTTCTATTTCTAAGCAAACTTAAAAAAGTAAACAGGCTGTTTAAAAGAATAGCAACCCTGAGATTAAAAACCACTGCTCTGCACAAACAGCTGAATGAAAGGAACAATTTCAACAAAATTAAAAAGAAGTGACAGAGTTCTGCTGGACATTCATTCCTCCTGAACTTTTCTCCTCTGCTGATCAGAATTTATTTATTTTTTTTTAAAAACCAACAAAAAGATGTTTTTTGCAAAGAGAAGACACAAAGATCCTCAAACATGAATCTGCTACTTGGAAACAAAAACCTCCCTTAAACACTAAATCTGTAAAACATCATTCAAGTCCTTTTTTTTCTATTTTCAAGCAAATGTTAAACAAAAGGATTGTTCCACTTTGTAAAACATAGACAGGTTATTATCACATCCTGTAGCACAGATGTGAGTTCAGCACGCCCCCTTATGGTCAACACGTGTAGTTAAAAACAACTCTATAAAGACACAGACCCTCGGGGGTCACCGAGAATCAGTTCTCTCAGTTTATTAAACCGTGCACACAGATTAAAATCTGTCCCCTCAAATTGTTTAATCTGTACGTGTAAATTTACCGACAGACATTGTTCTGTTTGAGCAACAAACAGCAGTTGGACCAATTCTTATTTGCAGGCTCACCAACTTTAAAATAAGCCAATACAATACAATACAATTACAAACATGGCCATGCTTTAACAGCAGAAAAACAAACAGCATAGTTTAATTTTAATCTGAACAAATGTTTAGCAACCAATAATGAACTGGCTTGTTTCTAATTCTCAATTGGATTCCATTGATGCGGTTGAAAATTGCATCCTGACTGAGTCCCTGAACTCTCGCTTTTTGGGATTTTCATCTGTTAATCTGCAAACTGAAAACAAAACCAGGCACAACACCTGCTGCACACAGACGCCAGCATTTAATAATCAATATATAATCTATAAGGAACAACCACGTGATCGTGTGCTGACTGTTCGGCGTCAGATGGAGTATGCAGAGGCCTTGAAGCAACTCACTCATAAACTCCCTGTTCTGTTTAATGTTGGCCAGCAGGGGGCGGCGCTTCTCCCCCTTCAACCATTTTACTCAAAGTGCTTTGATTCCCTCCTGTGATTAGAGGCAGCATCTCACTCCACATTCTCTGAAAATCTAGACAGCTTGGTTTAAAGCTCACATCCTGATTCACCTAAACAAAAACTAGAGCTGAAAAATACATTTTCACAGTTACACATGTTTCTATGCTATTGCACTTATTGACACATCCGAGTAGAAATCCAGTAACAYTCCAGACAATCACTGCAGCGGCACCTAAAGGCCCTTCGTCTTACAATTTTGGATTTCTTATGATTTCGAGCAACAAGCAAGCACACTTAACTATTATCAAGACTTAAAAGTGTTCATACGCAGAAATAAAAACTCGAGGACCGAACAGAAAAAAACACAAGAAGTCCTGGTGTCACTCAGCCCCGCCTCTCTAATCTAAACTCTGCTTATTGTGTCAAACACAGACGATAAACAAATATATGATTCATCATTTACAACATGTACAGTACAGAAAAACTATAATACAATTCTTAGAGTTATTATATAAAAAGAAAAATACTCTAAAATAGATTTTTTTCAGACCAGGCATTTAAAAACAGCAAGATGCATCAGTTTGAATCATAAAACAAGTAAACAGGTCCTGAAGGGAATTAAGACTTCAAATTAGAACCATACAAGAAAAATGTACACGAGTTGCATAACCATCAACAGGAATGTGCATATCTTAACAAGTCAATTGAAAATGAACGGTAAGAGTTTACAGAGTGTTGCATCATTCAGAAGTCTGGATTTTAATTATTATTATTGCCACAAACTGGTGTAGACAAGAGTCTCTGAGGTTTTAATATGACTGAATACTGGCAGAGGTTAATTTTACCCAGCTGGTATAAATKATAGAAATGTCTTTAAAACTAACAATAAATAATAAAAACTAACAAGTTCAAAGTGACTTTCTTTAGGTTTTGAGCTGTATCACAAACAGACACAAAAATAAAAAGCTGCTCCATTATAGATCAGATTTGATGGCTTATTATGTTAGTATTGTTCAGCACCTGATGCTAAACTTGAAGTTTGTGCAGCAGCTGGAAGAACCAGACTAGAGACAGGAGCCAAACCAGCAGGGTTCARGTGAGTCAGAGGGAGGGGTCGTTCAGTAAACTTGTTCCAATTTGTGAGTTTGATCCGATCTGCTGCTTCAGCTCTGCAACACAAGCTTTTCCCCGTCTCTAATCGGACTCGTCCAGCTGCAGGCTAATGAACTCCTGCATGCACTTCCTGTACTGCATCTCGGTGGGGCTGTTGGAGTTATATTGACCTGATGGGTTGTAGGGCCCCTCCGCCTCACGCATCTCCTCGTTCATCTTCGCCAACCGCAACCTGGAGACACAAGACAGGAAACAGGAAGTTACAGGCAGACAGAAATATGAGACAGGAGCAGAGAATGGCTTCTTATTGTAACAAGCTAATGATTGTTAAAAGGGTCACAATGTTGAGAAATATTAGGAGCCAACTTCAAGGTTTCTACATTTATAAAAACAGATAGACCTTCTTTTGTCCCTAATCTGATTAAATGATCACAGTTCATACCTGAAGATGTTACAAACTGGTTAATGCAGAACCAAGCCTTTTAAAAATGTARTATTATCTAATGTTACAACTAGTCAGGGTTCCTCTTTAAAAAGTTATACTGAAGCTGTTCAAAGAGATATTACCTTAAATATCCTAAATAAGTTAATTTAAATATAACTCAACATTAGCCTCATGAGATAACAATTCAGTAATAAATGCACTCCAGGTTCAGAGATTTAAAGGGAACACTGACTAGCTAAACAGATATTTTTTGATAAACATTTACATCAACTGAATATACTGTAGGCTGTTTAGTTTTTAAAAACTTTAAAAATATATATTTATTGTTACATGGACGTCGCTGTGCTATTTATGACACAAAGAATTAGCAACAGCATTCCTGAGATGAAAATGTTAGCTTGATAACTAATGTTTTGATATGCTCTGGTACTAATGCTATATTGCTATTAGAATATGTATTAGCTAGGGTACTAATGTTATATTGCTATATATCATGTATTAGCTTGGGTGCTAACATTATATTGCTATATGATTATGTATTAGCTTAGATGCTAACATTATATTGCTATATGATTATGTATTAGCTAAGATGCTAACATTATCTTGCTATATGATTATGTATTAGCTAAGATGCTAACATTATCTTGCTATATGATCATGTATTAGCTTGGGTGCTAACATTATATTGCTATATGATTTTGTATTAGCTACGATGCTAACATTATATTGCTAGATGATCATGTATTAGCTTAGATGCTAACATTATATTGCTATATGATCATGTATTAGCTTAGATGCTAACATTATATTGCTATATGATTATGTATTAGCTTAGATGCTAACATTATATTTCTGTATGATCATGTATTAGCTTAGATGCTAACATTAAATTGGTAACATTAAATAGTATTAGCTTGGGTGCTAACGCTATACTGCTATTAGAATATGTTTTAGCTTGGGTCCTAATGCTTTATTGCTAAATGATCATGTATTAGCTTAGATGCTAACACTATACTGCCATATAAATATGTATTAGCTCAGAAGTAAATGTTTTTCAAATATTATCTAACATTACAACTAGTCGGGGTTTCTGTTAAAGAAAAAATGAAGCTCACAATGTGACAATATCTGCATTTGCTGCCTCCACTGCGATGCTCAGAGGCGTCTTCTCATCGATGTCTGCAGCGTTTTGATTCGCTCCTCTTTTCAGAAATAAACAAACTTGCCTGCAACAGAAAGCAGAGTTAAGTTTAAATGATTTACGTARCCTTCCATGCGACGCAATAAATGAGGGGGACGATGCAGAAACAAACCCCGTGTGTCCGAGCGTGGTGGCGTGGTGCAGCGGCCCTCGGCCCTGAGCGTCCTGCTGGTTCACGTTCGCTGCGTTCTGGAGCAGAAACTCACACGTGACCAGCGAGCCCTGAAATGAACCGTTAACGTCCACAATGAGCGATCATGTCCTTACGGTGAATACGTTGCTGAAATCATTAATGACTTGACAGTGCTCGCGCTGACCCCATGCACCGCCATGATGAGCGGCGTCTTCTTGTCCTCCTCCGTGTTGACCCAGTTGACCTCGGCTCCATGGGCCAGCGCCTCGGCCATGTCCGGCAGGCTGCGGGCGCACGATGCCCAGTAGAGCTGCAGACCCGGGCTATACTCCTTGGGCTCGTAAAAGACAACCTCCTTACAGGGTGACGGGGGCGGGAGTGTGGCGGGCATGGGTGCAGGCTCAGCAGCTTCTGAAAAATGACAACAGATGAAAATGTGTCACTCTGGATTTTCTCCTTTTTCTCCTGGGTGAGGAAAAATACATGCACACAGTTTTTTTTTACATTAATTGACAAAAGATTATCTTGAAGCCAACCATGAAA